TTTTGACATGTCTTTTAATCTCTTGTAATGAATGTGTCCTAGTCTAGCATGCCATAAATCAGATTTATTAAAATTATTGCTAGTGCTAGAAGAAGCCATGCAAACAGAATTATTATAACTAGGATAATTAATATTAAGCCTAATCATTCCATTACATACATATCCGAAACCCATAAAATAATCATGTCTTGACAAGATATACTTGTCACTTTCTAATACTTGTTTGTAACCATAAGTATTTCAAACAATTTCAGACACAAGATTATTTTGAATCCCCGGTACAAATAAAACATTGTTCAGACACAAACACTTTCCAGAAATAAAGTAAAGTAAAACAGATCCTACACCCTTGATTGGTTCGGTTGCAACATTTCCCATTTTCACCACTGGTCCATCTTCAATTGGTTGACATTCCTTGAACCAACGAAGATCTTTACATATATGGCTTGTTGCTCCCGAATCAACCTACCATGCAACATCATCATCCTACATATAAAATGCTTCAGAAATCACAGAAATATAATTCTGAACATATTTAGAATTCTGCATGAAAACAAAAATCTTGCCTTGTTGCTTTTTTGGATCCTTGGATCCACTTGGTCCAACACCATCCTTGTTCACTTTACGAAGACGACAATCTTTCTTGAAGTGACCCGGTTTGTTACAATTCCAACAAACCAACTTAGCCTTTTTGTTGGAAGACTTGTCATCCTTTCCTTTAAACTTCCTTTTTCCATTAGACTTCTTGGGATTCTTTGAACTTTCTCCTTCCACCATCTTCACAGAAGAGGAACCAACTTGGTTCTTGCTTGTAGGATTGTTATCAAGTTCTTGAGTCCTCAAGGACTCTTCAATTAGTAAATGGCTTCCAAATTGAGTCAAAGTCAATTCCTCTTTGTTATGTTTCAGATTGTGTTTAAAATCCTTCCAGGAAGGGGGCACTTTGTCAATGATCACAACCACATAAATGGCTTCATCCATTTTCAGATTATGTTGAGCAACCTGTCCCAGAATCCTTAACATTTCATGGAATTGTTCCATAACAGGCCTGGAGTCAATCATCTTGTAACCCATAAAGTTACTAACAAGAAACTTTTTGCTAGAAGCATCTTTAGCCATGTACTTGGATTCAAAAGAATCCCACAGTTCTTTTGCAGATTCAAATTTTTGATAGATATCAAACAGAGAGCACATCATTGAGAATATGACCACACCATATGTAATCATCATTTTCCCACTTTGATCTCCTTCTTGTTGCCTCCAAAGGTTCATCTTCAACAGATTCTGGTAAGACTGGCATAGGTGTACTTAGAACATACACCACTTTCAGAGTGGTAAGGAGAAAATGCATCTTCTTCTGCCATCTGAAAAATCTTGTCCTTCAAACTTATTAAATTTATCAAACTTTCTTGTCATATCCTTCACAGAATCTCCACTTGCCATGATCACAGATTACTTCGATTTTTGTTAGAAATATGGGTTTAATGACACTTGGAAATCTGAGAATCGTGGTTATCACTTTCAAATCGAAGTATTTGGGTGGTACTCTCAAATCCTCAATTGGATAAGACTCAGATAAAATCAGAGAAAAAGAAAGAGAATGAGAGGGTATGTTTTTCGTGAGTACCAGATTATGACCAAAAAAATGGTTTTTGATCTATGTCTGAAAACTGTCATAAGACAGTTTCAAACTGTCACAAACCACCAAAACTGTTAAAACGTGTATTTGGATAAGAGTAAAAAATCGGGTCAATTCTAAAAAAATCGGATTTCTGACGGATTTCAGAAAACTGTCATTCGACCCCAGCCACGGGCTCAGCCCCTTGGAACCCGCTCCCAGGGGCGCTGCCCTTGGACCCTCGTTCATTCAGGGGTTCCACCCCTAAATAACAGTGTACTTTGAATCTTGAATAAACTTTAAAAAGTGTGCACTCCGCACCTTCCTTACTTGTTTAATATTTATCAAAATTGATTTTGGTCAACAAGTCAACCCATTACACTTAAATACAATTATTGAAACAATTCACCAACAACATTCATATGTATTTGTCTTGTATTTTTCTATGAGTTCTTTTATGCAATAAAGCGCATATAAATTTTGACAACTTAGCATTCTCTCTTTGATTGTGTATTTGTTATAAGTTACGCTCATTTAATCGGGACTAAGTTTCGTAGAATAAGCTTGAAGAATCAAGTTTATGACATTAACCCTTAAAGTATATAAACTATAAAGGCACTCATGCAATTATTGATCATTTGTTTATTGTTACAAGAATACATTATTTTGCCAAAAATGATTTCAAGGTTTTGTCATTTAGTGACACGACTAAATATTGTCGAACTTACGCATTATCAACAATCAAGTATATATAATTTCGGACAATTTTAGAAAGACGTGTAAGAAATTTTATAAAATTGTCCAATAATCCCTATTTTTAGAAAATTATAGAAATAGTGAATTATAAAATTGTTTAATGATCATTACGTTTGAAAAAAATGAAAGATCGGTCCCTTTTTAAAATTATGTTTATCTAATGGTCCTTATGTTTAAAAAATTACATAAATGGTCCCTTTGAAATTATCAAATGGTCCCTATGTTTGATAAAACTACTAAAATAGTACCTGTAAATTTATCCTTATGTTTAAGGAAATTGAAGAAATTATGCATATATAAAAATTATATTTTATCTCATGATCCTTAATTCCTTATGTTTGAGAAATTGGTAAAATTATGTAATGGTCCTTATTAGAAAATTAAAGAAATTGTCAACATGTAAAAGTTATGTAATGGTCTATGTAAGACAAAATTACATAAATGGCCAATTGTAATAACGACATGACGCAAATAATCCCAATGTAAGACAAATTTATAGTAACTGTCCTTGTATAAGTTAAAGTTATAAAAATGGTCCTTGTGTAATTGTGATATTACATACATGGCCCGTGTAGTGGCGAAATTACATAAATGATCCGTAATACCGAAATTACAGATGTGGTGCATGTGGAACATAAAATCATAGTAATGGTCTTAGTGTAATGGCAAAAATACAGAAAATGTTCATATATAAGAAAATATTACAAAAATAGTATCGAAAATATATGATGAATAAATTTGTTACAACACGAGGACACTTATTACATAAATGATCCATGTATAATACCAAATTACATAAATGGTACATGTGAAACATAAAATCACAGTAATGGTCCCGGTCTAATAGCGAAAATATAAAAAATGTCCATATATAAGAGAACATAACAAAAATTATATCGAAAATGTATAATTAATAAATTTGTTACAACACGAGGACACTTATTTACAAATTTTAGGCATACATTCATAAACGTACCAAAACACTCAAAAAGTATATACACTCCTTATGTATTCAATTTGAAATAAGATTCTTGTATACCTTAGCCTTTTGTACTCTCATCATGCACTCAACGCCCCACTACAATAATACTCCTTTTAATGCCTTGCTTCAATTGCCTTTTCTTTTTCTTAAAAAGATCTTTTTGGACTCAAATTGATTTCATTTCTGAAAGTTAATCAAAACATAAGATTATAATAAATTACATTTCGGTTAAAGGCGCATAGAATGGTAGAACCATGTGAACGAAACATACCAATTGTTTGTTATAATGCCCAAAAGAACTTTTCAAATACTCGATAGAAAGAAAGCATTGTTCCTGCGTAGTTGTGAAAAGAAAACATCACATAATAAACGATTTTGGCTTAATTGGGTCGCTTTTTATTCACAATCTTTCACGTTTTATTCACAATTTCTAAAAAGTTTAGTAATTTAATACAATAGAACGTAAGCCGGCCCTCTGTTTCAACGTCTTAGGAAGTTTTCTGACTGCAAGAAATCCATGCACCCAATTACAGTTGTCACTCTTTTTCATAGATAGTGCTCTCTCTCTCTCTCTCTCTCTCTCTCTCTCTCTCTCTCTCTCTCTCTCTCTCTCTCATAGATACTACATATACACACACACACATTACTAGCTTTCATCGAGAGAATTAGACATCAAAAGACGCATCAGAAATGGAAGAAGAAATTCCCCAGCACCCACCGGAGAAAATTCTTAGAGCAGCGTTATCAGAGCTAAAAACACAGCAAGCAATTGCATGTCCATTGATGGCGATGAACTTGACATGGTTTGCCAAGATAGGCATCACCACAGCGTTTCTGGGTCGGCTAGGTGAGGTGGAGTTAGCCAGCGGGAGTCTCGGGTTCATGTTTGCAAACGTGACTGGTTTCTCAGTCTTCAACGGTCTATGTGGTGCCATGGAACCCATCTGTGGTCAAGCTTATGGAGCCAAGAACTTCAAACTCCTTCACAAAACTCTCGTAATGATGATCACTTTACTACTACTAACATCACTCCCCGTTTGTTTCTTATGGCTAAATGTCGATAAAATCTTGATTCGTTTTGGCCAACAAGACGACATTTCTATCGAAGCAAGAAAGTATTTGATCTGTCTGTTACCTGATCTCATGATAACCTCGTTTTTATGTCCCCTTAAGTCGTATTTAAGTTCACAAAGCATCACAATCCCAATCATGTTCACTTCTGCTCTTGCGGTTATCCTCCATGTCCCTGTTAACATCTTCCTTGTAAAAACTCGAGGGTTTGAGGGGGTGGCAATGGCGATTTGGGTGACCGATCTGGTGGTAGTTGTAATGCTGGCGGTGTATGTGGTGGTGGTGGAGTTTAAAAAGGGTGGCGGGACATGGAAAGAAGGCGGATGGAGTGACCAAACATATGAAGATTGGGTTCGGTTATTGAAACTAAGCGGGCCATGTTGTCTGACCTCGTGTCTCGAGTGGTGGTGTTGGGAAATTTTGGTTATGTTAACCGGAAAGCTCCCGAATGCTAAACAAGCGGTTGGAATCATCGCGATTGTTCTCAATTTTGACTATTTACTTTTCTCGGTGATGCTTTCGCTTGCCACGTGTGCGTCCATTCGGGTCTCGAACGAGCTCGGTGGGGACCACGCGGGACACGCGTATCGAGCCGTGTGTGTTTCGTTAGGGTTGGGTTTGGGTGCGGGTTTAGCCGGTGGGTTAGCCACAGTGTTGGTTAGGGGAAATTGGGGTGGTTTGTTTAGCCGTGATGTGGGGGTGGTGAGAGGTGTTCGTGATGCCATGTTGTGGATGGGTATTTTGGAGGTGGTGAATTTTCCGTTGGCGGTTTGTGGCGGCATTGTACGGGGAACCGCCAGACCGTGGTTGGCGATGTATGCAAACATCAGTGGATTTTACTTTTTAGCGTTACCTTTAGGCATTGTTTTAGCTTTTAAGGTTCATATGGGAGTCCGGGGACTTTTAATAGGGTTCATGGTTGGGCTTCTTTGTTGTTTAATTTTGTTGTTGGTGTTAATTTCGAGGATTAACTGGACAGAAGAAGCTAATAAAGCACAAAGACTTGCAGCCAACTCTGATAAAAATGTAGGCTGCAAGACTTCAGCAATTGCTGACAATATTGGCTCAGCATGACCAGTTTGTTGGTCATGCTGCTGACAACTCTCTGTATATAAATTTTGAAAATTTGAATTTGCTTTATCGAAAATTGTTTTGATAAATATAATATAAATATTTATCATGATAACTCCAAAGGAACCATATCCATATGATTGTGGATACTAAATAGGATAGCATTAACATTAGATATACATGTGTAATAGAGGATTAACATAAGATCTGCATTAAGTTGGGCCCACATTGACTAAAGAAGGACAATTATGTGGGTGAGAATGGTTGTACATCTAGAAATCTAGAAAGGATGTAATAAAGCAGTGATTCCACTACAGCGTATCCTTTAAGTGATTGGTTTTAAAAAGGGAGTACTCTAATAACAAACATAGATATAAAAGATAATGCAATTGTGGAGTTTTAAAAGTCAGATATGCATGGTACTTTCTTATCTTAAATCTTAAAGTTCTAATATTTTGGAAGTTTTGAAGTTATAGAAGGAAGCATGCTTGATTGTAGAAAGTGAATATGATAAAATAATGTTGAAGAAAGAAACCAGAATGGTGGTGTGATGGTAAATTTGATTGTGAAATTTTCAAGAATGGTACAAGTCTTTGACATATAAATCAAATTATCACAAACTGAACAAGATGATTAAAATGGCGATTCCATTTGATACAAAAAGATTTGGGAGTTGGTGATGAAGTAAAATTCTTAATCTTCAACAAAACCTGGTTTAGAAATTAAAGATTGAAGTTGGTGTGCTAATTGATCATTGAAGCCAAGGGTAGCCATGATCTTGTATCCTGCTGCTTCCTTTTCAGACCATACTCCAAGAAGCAGGTGAGATGTTGTAATTTCCCCATCATCACCTAAACAAAACAAATGATTAAGTAATTTTATAGTGTTATCTGAATTATGATTTATTTAGAAAAATGTAATGAAGAAGGTAAGGTTGGGTTGGGTTGCCTGATTTGAGTTTTTGATCAACAGCCCAATCAAGGGCCTTTTGGGCTGCTTCAGTCAAAGGAGGATGCTCGGGGCTGAAAAAGAAATAGTCGGGTTTTCCAATCAATTTGATGGCCTCCTCCCGCACTTTGACAAGTGTAAACCCATTTGCACGCAACAGTTTTGAAGCCCTATTTGTTCCTGCAAAGTGCAAACAAACTATCATATTCCATTCCAAATTTCCAATTCCTTTAACAGATTCCAATTCCTTGGTCATTCTGGGAACCAAACATCCACTTAGACTTGCCGTGTGGTCTACAGGGATGAAGGTTTAGTTAAATTGATTATTAAGATAAATGTAGAATTGCCTAACACTCTCCCTAACTTGGATGCTTGCTTTATTCCATTATATGATTTTGATTCCTTGTGTTGCAATAATCAGTGTTGAATGTATGTCAAAATCTGATTGGTGTTACAATTTCTATCTAACAGTTGATGAATGAAATTGAATGAAGTGAAAATAACCCACAAGTATTATGTATACTAAACACAATGTGCATCTATCTGATCACAAATAAAAATATTAATAAAAGGGGGAAATGCGACTAACCCTCGACCAAAATTCCCATCAGAATAGCTTCAGTACCAGTAGTTGAAAATTTGAGCTTCCTCGCTTCCAATTCGCCCATCGCAAACGACTTTATTCCTTTCAACGACCATCTAACATAATTTTAAATTGTTCCCCAATTCGTTTCATAAGAAAACCCTACATTTCCAAGAAAAATAAATAAATTACGAGAATATAAGAACTCACTTGGGAGCTTTGTCAGTCGGATTAACCCTCTCTGGATTTCTGCAACCAAAAGGAACAACTTAATTTGAAATACTCACGTCCCTTAATTTGATAATTCAATCTTGGATTGGATTCATGCAATACAAGTTAAACAACGAAAAACTCACGCAGTTGGGAGACTGAAAGTAACTGTGGCGGCGATTGTTCGGGTCTTGGGTAAACAGGGTCGGAGGTTGAAGGAATGAAGGGGGAATTTGGTAATGCCTAACCATTGACTCTGTAATTTGTGTGTAGTTATTTGGAGATTTGGGGAAAACGGGTCGGATTTCTTTATGGAATCATGATGGGAGCATCGAGTAGAAGTAGTAGCAGAGGAAAAGAGCGTGTGAGAAGCCATTTTTCCCCCTTCAAGAAAAAATTGAGCTTCTTTTTGGGTAAGAAAGAATGTATTTTGGCTGACCACTTTAGATAGGGGAAGAACCGAAGAAGAAGAAGAAAGAGGAAACCTCCAAACGTCGTCGTCGTCAATGTCAGCCCAATATTTCAAACCTCTAACGAGTCTAACCTGTAAGAGTGTAACTGCTGTAACCAGGGCTTAATATTTTGACCGATCAGGCCCAAATCCTTTAGCCCAATAAAAACTTGTTCAATACATTTCTAAGTACTAACTTTGTATAAATTCCAAATGATCGACTATCTTAAAATATATTTTGAAGTTTATATTATTCTATTGTCATTTCTTAATCTATTATGAAAACTTTATTTGATTATAAAAAATATTTAAAAGTTGTAAAATATGCTATCTTAATGTAATCCTGGAGATATAAAATTATGACATAGATAAATAAGAATAGGATGATAGAATATATAAATAAGTTGATTCAAAACATATAGCCAATATAGCTTTTTTGGGGGTTGGGGGAGGGGATTACTAAAATAAATTATGATCACAAAATGACTATTTTTATTTTTGTTTTTCATCACAAAATAATTATAACTGACATAAAATAGTTTTTTTTTCGCAAAATTGTTTTACTAATGGTTCCGGTTTAAAAAGGCTTAAACAAAAGAAATTTTATTTCTTTTTTTTTTCTACAAATGTTTTTGTGAAAAAATAAGGACAAAATACAGAAATGCGCACTATTTATCTATCAGCATTAAAAAAATATATTTACATTTTCAGTTACCTTTCAGATATACCCAACTATCCATTTTTTAAGAAGTTATTGGATTATTTTGTGACATTGAATTTATCTTGTTCGTTTTTAAGTTGACACAAGAAAAAATAAGCGATATCATTTATTTTTGTTTAAGTAAATGATCTATTTCTCATGTTTTATCTTAGACAAGGCAATGTCACTTATTTTTATTTTCATATTAACCTAAAACCAAAAAATATAAATGTCATGTCACAAAATAATCGATAAGTTTTTTTAAAAAATCTGGATATTTAGATTAATGTGAAAGATAACTGAAAATATAAAGGTTTTTCTGTATATAAATAAAATGCAAAGGTTTTTCCAAATACGATATTATTTCTTTAATTATGGTTTACACTATTATCGTAGTGGCTATTTTTATAATTCCATTGTTATATATGGATAACTTTTATAATAATAATAATACATAATGATTCTTTTTATAATTTGGTTAAATTTTTTGAGAGGTAAGAACTAAGAACATAAAGACTATTTTTATAATTTTATTATAATATAAATACTATTTATGTAACTTTACAAATTAAAAACACAAAAACTGTTTATATATTTGTTTATTTTCTACAAATTAAAATGAAATATATAATAAAAATGTGGGGAAGCAAAATCTTGTTATGTGCCCACACCAACGATATAATCTTTTTTTTTCAATATTTAATTTTATGAACCCTCCAATTCCGAATACAAATTCCCACCCCCAGTCTCAACTCTCAAGTGGTACCTTACTCGTTAAAAGCTATATTAAATATTTATATAATAATTAGTAACTTTATTATATTTCAATATTTTTCATTAAAATCATATCTAATGGAGACTTATTTTATAATTTTCTACTATTTAATTGACAACTTATTACAATTTAATATTAGTGGAGTTTATAGTTTTGTGTATCTATATTGACAATTATATATATA